GGCGGCGCGGGCACCGGGGCTCCCTTGCTGTACTTCGGGAGCCGGCCGCCCTCCTCCCCGCCGGGCGGTGCGGCTGAGCGCGCGGAGAGAGGGGGAGGTTTTACACCCGCGGGCGGAAAAGCCTAGGCTGGAGCCCCCGTGTGAGCGAGGAAGGAGTCCCCTGCCAGTGTGAGTGTGTGTGCACGCGGGGGTCAGTGTGCGGGTGTGCCTTGTGGCTGCGGCGTGCACGGAGTGTGGAAGCGGAGGAGGGGGAGTGCAGGCATGTGGTGGGCGTGAGCAGAAGCGTTGGGGGTGCTGCTTGGTGGTGGTGGTGGCGAGAGCGGGGACAGGAGTCGTCTCGTGAGTGTGAGTAGGAGGCAAGAGTGTGTCTGAATGCGCTCCGCTGAGAAATTCTTCTGGAAGCTGCAGCCATTCGTGAACAGGTAAGAGATGTGCACCCCAGGGTGGTTGAGCGAGGGCTCCCTCCTCTGAATCTCCTCGCCAGGGAATTCCCGCTGCGGGGAATGGAGCCCTCCCTCCTCTCCTGAGCCCCTCTGCCCTCAGCAGTGATCTCTGGCCTGGAGCCTGGACTCCCTGTGGTGTGAGGGTGTCCATTTCCCTGCTGGGGCCACTGAGATGGTGGAGAGTTGGAGGCAGGGTTGGGGTGGGGACAGGAAGACGAGGCAGAGAGAGACAATGTGGGGCAGTGGGTGAGTTGGAAGACTTGGAGAAAGCAGCTGTGGAGAGTCAGTCCAGAGTGGGTGTTGAAGGGGGCATGTCAGTGGGGCTGAGTCAGGGTTTCCTGTCTATTGCTGGTCCACCCGCCCCATGGGGCTGGTGGAGGTGAAGGTGGGGGTGAGGTTATGTGGAGGGGACAGCATGCCTGCCCTGATGTGATGTAGGAACTGCACACCTGCAGGTGTGAAGGCCATGTCTGCCTGTGGGAGCACCTGTTTGGGAATGGAGGTATCTGTGGACTGTGTGCTTGTAGCGGGAAGAAGAGTATGTCTGTGGGCTGTGTGTTCATTTTTGTGTTTGCTCCATGTGTTCACCTCTGATGTGTGTGTGTGTGTGTGTGTGTGTGTGTGTTTCATGTCCCTTCCAGGCACCAGTTCAGGTGTGAAGGGCCCAAGGTTGCTGTGTTTTTCCAGGGGACGGGGACTCAAGGGCATGGGGGAGGATGGGTATGGAGCCTCTCTCTGCCCTCCACCCACTTGTGATCTTGTGATCTGCCTGCTCCCTCCCACAGTGGGTTCTTTGGGGAGCCAGATGCCTTCCCTATGTTTGCAACCAACAACCGAGTGAAGAGGAGACCCTCCCCTTATGAGATGGAGATTGCTGACGGTGAGTCTGAGTCTACCTCCCCCACCATGTACTCACTCCCTTAAGCTGTTAGAGCCCCTGAAGGAAGGATCCTCGGGGACTACTCCCTAGGTATCTCGCTTAGATGGGCAAGCTCTCTTGACTCCGCAGCTGTCAAAGTCCTCACTCTGTTGACCTGGGACCAGGGCAGGCCATGGGTGGGGCTGGCAGTTGCCACACTCACAACCCTGGGGAGAGGGGACTTGGGAGTAAGGGCATATTGTGGCACTTAGCCCAGACCTCCAGGGTCAGTTGTAGCCCCCACTTTAGCTCTCTCCCTACACTTGGCAAGGATCGTGGGGGAAGAGCAGAAACACATGTAGCCCCCTGCCTCTGAGCAGTGGCCCTCAGGGATTCTTTGTACCTCTTCCCAAGTCCTCTTTGAAGTCCAGAGTCTGCTTCCTACCTGAAATTGCACCTTTAAGGATCTTGTCCCAGATCCCTACAAAGTGAGGCCCTCTTGTCCCCTTTACCAGAGACTTGGAGCTCCCTTCCTGACATCAGAGATTCTGCCTTGCTCCCTTCCTTCCCCCAGAAGGGCCTCAGCACTGCTTATGTGAACTACCAGAGTAGTCTTTGGCCCTGAATTTGGGGGAAGGAGTTCGAAGAGTGGGAAATCTGGGGGACTCCCTCCCGCTTCCCAAGGTTGACCAGATGTAGTAATTGGGGCCCAGCACCAGGAGGCAGGAGAGAAGCTCTCCAGAGAAGAGGGACTTCCTGGAGCTCCCAGTGCTTCCGACCAGCTGGAGCCTGGCGCACCTGTAGGAAGGGCACCAAAAGCCTTGGAGCTAGACTGGGATTTCTGCAAACTGCTGGTGAGAGGGGTGTTCTGGAGAGGAGGAGGGCTAGCACCTGGACAAGGAACAGACATCAAAAGACCTAACAGCCTGGGGCACAGGGGTGTAGGGCTGAGAGGGAAGGGTGTTGGAGTGTCAGTGCTGCTAGGTTAGAGACAGGAGGCAGGTGTACCAAACAGGAAGCAGGCAAGACCAACCCTGAAATTCTCCAGGGAAGAGGCAGAGATGAGAGAAATCAGGCACAGAGGAGGAGGAGGGGGAGCAAAGAGCAGGGGTTTGGGAGGAGTGCAGGAGTGTAGAGAGACCATTACCCATAAATGATGCCAATATTCACCAAGCATCTGCTCAGTGCCTGGCCAGAGAGAGACAGAGGATGTGGAGGGATGGACGGACTCAGGAAAGTGAAAGATGTGGAGAAGTAGGTAGTTTTCTGGGAAGGACCAGACAGGAATAGACAGGGAGGTGACAGGGAGGGCGGGGTGCAGGATGTGTCCACAGGACTTTGAAATCAAGAGATTTAACCAAAAAGAGTCCCTAAAAGTAGAACTAACACAAGGTCTACAGTCAGGACTTGATATGGATTCCTGTGGCTAAACTTTTCTGGGCCTCAGTTTTCTCATTTGTAAAGTGGGGAGGATAACTGCTTCCTCTCAGATTGTGGAAGGAGCACCGTCGGGTAGAGTGCTTTTAGGGCCTGGCTCGGGAAAGTCTGTCTCGCCTCTTGCCGTGACAGCAGCTGTGATGCCCCTCCCCACACAGGCACTCCCTGAAGATCAGGCAGCAGCCATGGAGCAGGGACTGGTCCTCCCAGTGGCACAGCTGAGGGCCTCCCCTCTGTCTGGCCTGGAGCTGGGAGAATAGCAATTTACTTCCTTGGAGGTGCCTAGGGTAGGACTGCCCAGAGGGTGTGCTGTGCTTTTCCCGGCCTGGGTCTGGCCTTTAGCAAAAAGAGTCAGCTGGGCTGGGGCCTGCGGGGGTTTGAAAAGACTGTTTCTGAGGCACTGAGGGCAGAGGATGAGTGATCTTCCCTGGGGAAAACATGATGTGGTTATGTATATGTATATGAGTGTGTGTGTGTGTGTGTGTATAGGTGTGTGTGGACCTGTAAGATAGAGAAAGAGAGATGGTCAAGCAGCAAGTGGCAGCACAGATGAGCTGGGTCATGGAGGCAAAGTTTCCCTCCCACCTGGCCCCAGTCTCCTTGGCTGTGAAGTGAGTCCGTGGGTCTTAGGTGATGGCTTCTTGCATACACAACTTTCCATGTTGGGTAGCTCCTTTCCATCTTTTATTTACCTTTGCTCTTTTTTGCTTATGTGTTTCCTGCTTGTTCATCATCTCTTACCCCAGGAACATGTAAGCTCCATGAGGGCAAGAACTCTGTCCTGTCTACCTTTATTTCTTAGTGCCTAGCACAGTGCGTGGTTGTCAGTAAATAACCGATGAATGGATAATAATAACTAGCATTTTTTGAATGTTTGATTGGAGGCAGTATTGCCTTAAGTAACTCTCCTGGGTTGGTTGTTATATCCACATGACAATCTTATGACTTGAGTCACTAGTATCATTTCTATTTTACAGATGACAAAACTAAGGCATGGAGAGTTTAAGGAATTTGCCCAGACTCACCATCTAGAGAGTAATAGTCAGGAATTGAGCCCAGAAAGTCTGGCTCCAGAGTTCGTCTTTCTAACTAGCACTGTATGGCCTCTTGGCCCAAGTGAATGAATGAATGAATCAATGATATATGGTTCCTGTCCTCAAATGTCTCACAGCCCAGAGAAGGAGACAAGCATGGAAACAATCAACAGTAATGGGAATTAAAGGTTTATAGGGCCATAGTGATTGGTTAGATCTGTCCGGAGGGATTGATGGAAGTTCTCAGAGAGGAAGAAACATGAATGGGGTTTTGAAGGATGAGTAAGTTTTCTGAGTGAAAGGGAAGAAGGCACTCTAGGTTTCCCAAGTTTTCCGATGGATGGTTTCTCTTCTTCCCCACAGGAGAAGATGCCCTGGGGAATCTCGAGCCCCCTCTCCTAACCCTTGCCCTCATGCCCCCAGGTCCCCACACCAAAGTGGTGCGGCGTATCTTCACCAACAGCCGGGAACGATGGCGGCAGCAGAATGTGAATGGGGCCTTCGCAGAGCTCCGCAAGCTGATCCCCACGCATCCCCCGGACAAGAAGCTCAGCAAGAACGAGATCCTCCGCCTGGCCATGAAGTACATCAACTTCCTAGCCAAGCTGCTCAATGACCAGGAGGAGGAGGGCACCCAGCGGGCCAAGCCTGGCAAGGACCCTGTGGTGGGGGCTGGCGGAGGGGGTGCGGGGGGAGGGGGCAGTGCGCCTCCAGATGACCTCCTGCAGGACGTTCTCTCCCCGAACTCCAGCTGTGGCAGCTCCCTGGACGGGGCAGCCAGCCCGGACAGCTACACAGAAGAGCCGGCACCCAAGCACACGGCCCGCAGCCTCCATCCTGCCATGCTGCCCGCCGCTGATGGAGCCGGTCCTCGGTGATGGGTCTGCAACCACCCAGGACCAGCTGGGAGGTTGCCCTTCGGCTGCTGGGACCATGGGCTTCAGGGCAGGTGGGGTGAGGACTGGGCAGCTCTGAAGCAGGGTGTGGACTTGATGAGCTTTCCCTGATGTCTGAACTTTGAAAAGTCCTAACCGCCCCTGGGGCTGGATATCCTGTTTCCTGCCTCACTAGGAGAAAAGAAAAATGGAGCAAAGTGGTAGGTACTTTTTATGAAGACGGCACGGTCTTCCCCCTTTTCCAAATCCCTGAGGCTTCTCAAGTAAGAGGCTCGAGTGGCGCTGCTTTTGGCCTGGAGCATGGGGGCCCTGCCGTCACTGAGACCTGGGTGGTCAGTTCCTTCCCAAGGCGTCTGGCAGCCTCTGCCTGCCTTTAATGCCTCCAAAGCTGGCTAGGGTGGCTTTTATGGCCACATGGTCCAAATATAGGTACCTGATAGCTGCCCATTTCTTGAGCCCCATCTTTACCCAGGCCCACATTGGTCCATCCAGCTTGCCAGCTGCCGCAGAGGGTCACAAGCCTCGAGGTGCCTTCTTCAGGGCCTGGTTGAAGAAGACAGCCAATGGACAGCCTGCTCTCGACTAGCTGGGCCAGAGAGTCAGAAAACACAGTAGCCCTTACTTCTTTCCCTGGGGATTGAAGGTCTGCCTTCTCCCCACTGAGACTTGCCTTCCTTATCCTTGTGGCTCTGGGGACCAAGTCTGCAGCTGTGAGCGTGTCCTGTGGGCTTTGTGCGAAGGCAGAGACAGGAGATGTGCTGACAGTGAAATTGAGCACGAGCTGTTTGGGACACGTGGGCTTCAAGTCACCGTGGTGTCTCAGAGCTACCTGCCTGCGTTCTCAGCGACACATTGCTGTTCATGCGGGAGCAGATGCCAGTGTGCTGATGGGTGTGTGTTGGTGCAGAGTAGAGGTGCAGCCCCATCTCGAGTTCTCCTACTGCTCAGAGGAAGCTTCCTGCGGCAGGATGTCTGTTTGCGGATGGTCTGGTCTGTGTTGTGAAACTGAACCGGGCATGAACTCTGTCCTGTGAGTTCCTGGCATTTGGGATCTTGCTTGACTTCAGTTATTGGTGGGATCTTTAGGTCTTGATATGACCCAGGATCCAGCCCTACTTCTAGAGCCCAGGGAACCCAGTGAGAGACCAGGCCCTGGCAGAGATCCAAACACACGCGAATTCACTTAGCAGAACCTTCGACAGCCCTTGATTGTGCAGATTTCAGTCATCAAGGGTGTTTATGGGAGGCTGGCTTAATGCAGTCGGGGTGCTCCCCACCTCAAGTTGTACATCACATTTTTGTAAATCAAACCCTTATCCTTCATCTTTTAAAGAAGTACTAATGCAAGTCCTTTGGTAAAATGGAGAATCCTTTTGTAGAGTGGACCACTGCCCCTTCATTATCCCCTCTGTCAATCCAGGTGGTGGGACGTAGTTTTCTTAAGGCGAGGCCTGCCTGTGACCCACATCCCATGCCCATGGAACAGACTGCACACAAGTCCTATACACCTGTCACCTGCCCTCCAGTCACCCCAGCCGGCTCTGACCAGGCTCTGCCTTGGAGATCAGAGGGAGAAGGATGCTCTGGCTCTGCCCTGCCCAAAGCAATGTGGAGGAACCGTTGCTGCTGCTGGCAGGAGAAGCCCTCACACGTTGTGGGCTTCAGTCTGGTGGCCTGCCCTCACCGTGGCGGGGCCTCGGGAACAGCCACACGCACCCGGGGAGTGATCCCTTCTCCCCTGCCTACTTCCTTTTAAGTTGTGAGGTCCAGTCCCTGGGGATGGGAGCAACATGGGTAACCCTTGTAGCACTCTCTGTCCTATTTCAGCCTCCTCTCCATCATATTTTGATGAACATGAGGATTGGTTCCCTTCTAATTTTTGGAAGTTCCTGTGGGGAATCCCATCTGTTTAAAGACTGAGCACCTATTCTCAGTCCTAAGGCTGCATTTGCTTCCTTGTGGATTAACTTGACCTAGGAGTGAAAAGTGGCCACAGTGAGCCAACGTGGGTGGGATTTAGGAGATGGGTCACACATTCTCTCAGGGACTCAAGCTTCCCGCTCCCTCTTCTCTCAGACTTGCAGTATGACCTGGGAAAGTTCTCTCTGTCAGTGTCTCATAAATACTCTGGTTTGGCCTGTCTCCTAGGGCTGTGGTGTGGACTGGATGGAATCATGAAAGTAGAAGCATTTTGAGATGGTGAGGAACTCTGTTGCCCTCAGTATCATTCCTGCAGTGGGGTTTCCTATCCCAAGTCCAGGAGCCGGGCAGTGGGCCAGTCTGCCTGAGTGCACAGCATCGGGTCATTTAGGTTCTAAACCACTTTCACCTGAATTATCTAGATTATCCTCATTTCTCCAGCTTGATCTCATTTCTGTCTCATGCCAAGGCGAGGCACAGGAGTGAGACTGGAAAAGAGACATGGGCACATGAGCAGAATATGGAAAAAGGAACACAACCACCCACAACAGGCTGGGTAGGGATGAGCAAAGCTTCACGTCTCTGTTAAGAAGTAGACAAGGTCCATGATTTTAATTCTCGTTGCCAGCACCTCTCCCCTACCACACCCTTCTCCTTCCTCTGCCCCCTCTTCACCCACGAATATTCTCCATCCAAGAATAATATCTGTACAAAAGGGAAACTATATAAAGATGAAAAAACAGGAGGAGAACAAAAATGATTGTCAGTGACTGGAGGGAATCACATCTCTTAAGACAAATTCATATCCTTTTATTTGTAGTGGCAAACAACAAGATGGTACAACCTTTATCCTTTCCCGAAAGCAGAACAAAGGGCACAGCATCTCTGGTCAGCCGCCAGCTGTCTCGGCCTTTGGGGGTGGTCTCGTCGTACTTGTGGTTTGGATGGTACGTGGCCCCCGCCGAAGGCTTGCCCCCGGCCCATGTACATAGCGCGTCGTCCCTGCGGGCGGGCCCAGCACTTTCCGTCGATGTTGTACTGTACGTGATGCGTGGCGTTGGTCTCTGCATTTTTCTGCAGAAGAGGAGTAACCGCTCCAGGTACCTTGTCCTTTGTACAGCCCAGAGGCCAGCACTGTGGGCGTGTGACTCTTTAGCGACAAAACCCATGTGGTGGTGATGTGTGTATATATATAAGGATATATTGGGAAGATTTCTAAATAAAAGTTTTACAGAGGGGCCTGGACTCTTGCTTGCACGTCGCACCCCTAGGACTGGGAGTTGGGACACGGAAGGACACACCGACCTGTCTTGCTGACATGGGAGCTCAAGCCTCAGCCATCCTTCCAGGGTGAGGTCCCACCTCCTACCCCGAGGCTCCCCACTTAGGGTTTCCATTCTTTCCCCTCTGCCAGGACTCACGGAGGGGGCCTCTTCTCATCACTGTGTACCCACACTTTGGGCTCAGGATCTCAGGGCAGAGAGTCCCATCTGCATCCCCTTGGCAGGGGCCATGGCTTTTATTGTGGGCTCAGGACAGATCAAGATCTCACCAGAGGAGGGTCCCAGGTCCCTGAGTGACTCAATGAAGGCTGCTGCTCTCCTGCCTGCTCTGGGAGATTGAGGGTGCGGATCTGACACGGGCTCAGGGACAGAGGCTGAGGCTTTGGGAGTCGTGAGTAGAGACTCAGGAATGGGAATGCTGGTCAGAGGCAAGGACTCTGGTTCTGGGGAGGCCTCTGCCTGCAGACTGTTGGATTTCAGGGACCTCAGTAGATCAGATAGGCATTCCCAACAAAATACCAATCCTTTCTTTCGTTCATTTAACAAATATTTATTGAGCCCCCACCTCGGGCGAGATATTACTCAAGTACTGGGGGTCTAGCAGTGAAGGAAACCAAGATCAATCCCTGTTCTTATGTTGCTTAAATTCTAGCAGGGAGATAGTAGCCACACCGACACACACAACCACGATGAATGTGTTGACTGTACAGTAACTTAGAAGGTGGTTAGAATTAAGGGGAAAAGATGTGCTGGTTCAGGGAGCTCCAGGGGCCCATGGATCACTTTGGGGAAGCCTTGCCCATCCTGCCAGGCTCTGATCTTGTCCTTCCCTGTCCTGGGGTGCTTCCCAACAGTAGCCAGTGGGGCAAAGGCATGCCAGTGCTTGAGGGTGCTGCTCTGGCCTGGAGGGAAGCTCCTTAACTTTTGGGAGATGTGAAGTGTGCTTCTCCCCAGCCCAGGGCAAGGAGGTCCCTGGGCAGATAGATGGTGAGACTTAGTCCTCAGGTGGGGAGACCAGTGGGAGTGGACTGTGGGTCTTGGTGATGGTGGTGGGTGCAGCCACCCACCTGGGGAGTAGCATGGTGAGGGGACATGAGAGAGAGAGAGAGCGACAGGGCTGGGCAGTCAGAGGCATAGGAGAACCACTGGAGAGTGTAAGAGTGTGGTATTTCAGAGGCTAAGGCCAAAGAGGGTTTGGGGCAGAGGAAGTGGTTAGCTGAGCCCAAGGCAGCCAAGAGGGCAGGCAGAAAGGCCTGCAAGTGCCGACTGGATTTGGCAACATGGAGGCCACCAATGACTTTGGTGAGAACGGCAGCAGGGGAGGGGTAGAGGCAGCAGTCTGACTGTCATGGACACAGAATCAGAAGGGAGGATCACCCATTTCCAGAAGGACCTTTCCCCGAAGAGGGCGAGGCAGTCCACGTCCAGAGAGTTTAGGAACAGCTCGTCTGCCCGGTTGCCACCAGGCAGAGACTAAGAGGCAATTGACTCCCAGGCTAGCCTGGTCCTTGGGGATCATCTGGGCTGGTGCCCAGTCTCCAGATGGGGAGACTGAGGCCAGAGAGGAAAGGAATCTTCCCAGGGCCACATGTCCCATGAATGGTGACAGCAGTGACAGGCAGGTCATGGCTGGGCCTCCTGCCTCCCAGGTCATAGGGAAGGACTACTGTGGGGCCTCGCCTGAACAGCCTGCTGTTCTCTCCAGCCTCATTTCTCACCACCCCGCACTTCAATTTCTTTGCTCCTATCACACTAGCCCTTCTGGTCCAGGGTGCAACGTTTTTTAACTGTCTGGTTTTTGCACTTTGGGTTTTAATCCATCCTCTTCCCATTCTCCATTCATCTGGTTAACTTGTCCTCAGCATCCAGGAGGCTGTCCTGACTCTGGGCTCAGCTGCCCCCTGCCGTGTCCGTGCAGGCCTTCCTTCACTCTGCTGTCTGACGTTTGTCCTTTTGTACGCTTTCCCTCTAAAACACGTGCTCCTTGAGGGTAAGGCTATGCCTGATTTGTCTCTTCGCCTCCAGCGCCCTGCGTCAGACCCAGCACGGGTTCCTTTCAACCTTGGCTGCATGAAGAGGTTGCCCTGCATGGAACCTCCCAGCTCGGTGTTAAGGCCAGTGCGAAATGAAAGGATGGATGGGTTGGATGGGTGGGAAGCTGGATCATTCCTGCCAAGATGCCTAAAACCATGGTCCTGGGATGGCCAGGGGCAGACAGACAGCTCTGCCCCTGGGCTGGCAGAGGGCCATGGGCTGCTTTGGTTGGTGGGTGCAGAGGGGGATATGAGCTTCCTCAGGCTGGGCCCCTGCAGCGTGGTTATCATACTGGACCTGGGTGGGTGAGGTGGGGGTGATAATGATCAGGAGGCTGTTTATCTGGTCCACTCATAGCAGCCTTACCTCCTCATGCTGCCCACTCCCCTCGTCCCAGCTTGCAAAACAACTAACTGTTCTCCAGGAGCTAGCTCTCCCCCTCTGGCGCTTGTGACCAGCCTGCTGGGGACAGCCCATGGTGCTGGCACAGTGTCCAGCAGTAGAGGCTCAGCCGTCGTGAGTCAGAGTAAGGAGAGGAGTCGGTCAAGATCACCCAGGCACCTTCTCTGTTGTCCAGAGAAGGAAATGAGACCTAAAGAGGGCATGGGCTTCACCAAGGTTACGCAGGATTTGAATTCAAGTCTGAGTCCAGAGCCAGTGCTCATGGCCGCTCAGGAGAGGAAGAAGAAACAGCCAACAGGTAGTTATGCTCTCAGAGCAGACCGACCTGCACTATGCAAGGGGCAGACAGCAGGCTGGGCTTGAGGACAGGCTTGGGGACAGTAAGGACAGTCAATGTGGTGTCAGCTCAGGCACAGAGAGGCCAGGACATGGGAGGGATTGAACAGGAAAGGCAGCTAAGCCACAGAAAGCCCGGCCTTTGGGGTCAGAGTTACCTTGGGTTCCAGGGCTGCCACTTATCATACCTGCTGTGTGACTTTGGGTAAGTCAGCTAACCTCTCTGAGTCTCAGTTTCCTCATCTGTTAAATGAAGATATTAACACCTCTCTTACAAGGCTGTCATGGGATTTCAAAATAATAGATGTAGAGTGCTTGTGTTTTGTAGAAAGAGCCATTATTGCTGGAAATGGAGTTGGGATAGGGCCATACTTGGAGTGGCAGAAGAGAGAAAGAGGGCAGAGAGGGAGGTGGGAACATTAATCCTTCACAGCAGCAGGAATCCCTCTAGACCTGCCCCATGCTGGGCAGTACTGGGGAGGCAGCAAGGGATCTTCCCTGTCCCTGTCCTCAGGGGGCTTGCAGGCTGGGTGGAAGTGGGATAGAGGGGAACAGATATAGAACATTATAACCCTGGAGGCCAGTACTGTTAGAGAGAGGCCCCATGACTGTGGGAGACCTGGCTCTGGCAGTGGAGGCCTGGAGTACATGTTTGCTGAATTGAAGGAGCCTGAAGGGGAGGCTGGGGAAGGCTTCCTGGAGGAGGTGCCATTTCCTTCCTTCCAGGTACCTTTGTGGGGAGGCACAGGCTGTCCTGAGCCCCAGCACCTTCTCTCAGTGGCAGATGGAAACTGCTCCAGGGATGCTGAACCTCCCTCCTGGGGGCCCGACTCCTGTCCAGGCCCTCTAGGGCAGAGCTGGGCTGCTGGAGCTACCCGGTGCCCACCATGACGTTCCCTCTGGCTACTCCTTTCTCTCCCCACTCGCTTGGTCCGAGCCCTGCCTCCCTCCCCAGCTCCTGGCCTTCTCTGTCCTCACAATAACAGGATGTGATCCGTTCGAGGAGCGGAAGTGGGGAGGACGGGCAGTGCTGATAGCGCAGTTCTGACTCTTCACTCTCCCCGCCTCCCCTCCACTCCTCTATGGATGGCGCCGGAGTTTGCCTTCTCTCCAAGGCCCAGCCTAGGCCTTTCTCTGGGTTCAGGAGGGATGATTTTGGGGTCTTCAGGCTTGACTCAGGCCTTAAGCCCATGGAGAGATACACAATGGCCCTCTGCAGGGCTTGCTTTGCTGGCCTGGAGACAACTGTCTGAGACACTGAGACTCAGGGATCTGGCCTGACAATTTCTGGGCTCCAGGCTGTCTTTTGGTGCTGCGGGAGCCTAGGGGTGGGCAGGTGGGACCTCAGCCTCCACATGGGCAGGGCTCCACCCACCCACTTCCTGTTCCTATGTGGGCTTGATCCAAGGCAGCGGGGTGATAGAAATCACCCAAGAGGTCCTCGTCAGGCACTGACCTGGCTCTGCCTCACACAAAGTGTGGGAAGGGCTGCCGGACGGGGAAACTGAGGCTCTGAGAGGCAAAGGGATTGTCTAAACTCAGCATGAACTAGGAGCTAGCTCGAGCTAGAACCAGCTGTCATGATTCCCAGCCTGGAGCTCTGCCCTCACCCCAAAGCAGATAAACCACCAAATACTGCCGAAATCGCTGAGAGGGGTGCTACCCAGTCCCAAACTGAGGCAATCAGAGGAGAGCTCCTGGCTCTACACTGTGAAGGGGAGTTTTGGTTATGTGTTATTCTGTGAGTCCCTCGATATGGGGAAGACACAGTCTCTCCTGACTCAGTCTGTTATGCAGATGGTGATCTGGAGAACAGCCACCCCCCCGCCACAATATGATCCTCACCCTCTTCTTATCCCATAGCCACACCCCCAATCTCCCCGCCCGCCAGCCCCCAGCCACGACCCTTGCCTTTCTGAGACCTGGTGGAGCTACGGGACCAGGGTGGAAAACCCTTTCCCACCCCATGCCTGGTGACAGCCCAGCCAGCTGAGACCCGGGAGCCCAGGGTCCTTAGCCCTCCCCAGCACCCCCTCCGCAGCCTGGGACCTGCGGTGCTCCTGGGTCCCAGGCTCTGCGGGATCTCGAGGGGCCAGGCCTTCTGCCCTCTGGCCGTTCTCACACTGCCGCCCTGGTCCCCCTCTCCATGCTCCGCCCCCTCTCCAGCAACCCTCCCGGGAACT